TGATAGATAATCGAATCATCTTGCGGTTGGATTAGGATTAAACCTCCACGTTGTCTTAATTTGGAAACAAATGTTCGACAGAATCTTGATTACACAATCCTGTCGCAAGTTCAAATCCTTCATATCGATTTGCAAGTATTTTATAAGTTGCGAGAATAGCTCGTACAGTTAAAACAAAACCTTTAAAACAAGGAATTTGAACTATGCTATTCGCTGATTTTGACCATCTTGAGCACCATTCGATAAAATCTGTTAACAGATTTTCGATATCCGGATTTTTTGAGGATAATGGTCGCTTTCCACCAAATGTAATATTAAGACTGTAAGCGTTGCAAGCATCTATAATATTATTCATACGCTTTGCAAAATCAGCTGTCGCTTCCCACGTATTTGTATTTAATTCTTTTTCGTGGCCGGCTGTTTTTATTGCAGCTGCAAAAGTATAACTAAATAACTGGAAAGCTCTTTTAACATTCATCGCTTCGAAAGTATTTGGACGTATATGTGCCTCCGTTATGTGAGACAATAAATTTGAACCTCCTTTTGTGGCATTGTCAATAGACCATGTCATTTCAAAATCTGAATATGATGCGATTATTTTTCCATCGCGATAAATGTTTCCATGTGTTCTAAAGAAACTTGCCAATCTTTTGACCAAATGAGGAAAATCAAAAGATGCATTATATCTTTTTCCATTATATATAAAAATGGCTTTTCTGCATTAATTTCAAGTTGAGTATAAGCGCTTTGATTACATGTACCTTGATCACATGTTACAAGTTGCACATCGGCACCCGTTGCACTCAATCTGTCTAAACATTCTTTTAACAATATAATTATTCTTCTGCTTTCATGCATTTTCCCGGGAGGAAATATGCTAAAGGCTGTCGCCATGGACGACGCGCATTTAAACTGTCTAAGCAAAAGACAAATACACATTTCGATCTTTCTGATTTCTTTCCTAGAGGTCCAAGATCAACAAGACCTTCTATTTCATCTAATTTTCGCGAATATTCCTCATAAGGTTTTATTGCCATTTCATCCCATTTTAAAGCACACACTCTTTCCTCCATTGATAAATGAGAAATCTTTTCTTTTAATTTTTCAAATATAAAGTCACAAAATCCTGGCCGTACATTATATTCTTCTAGCCATCTTCTAATGGTTCGCTGTCCGGGAAAATTACAACCTGCTTTTCTTAAACGACAGAAAGCAGCAGCTGAATAATAATATAATTGCCTCGACAGATTTTTCTCTTCTTCTGTATATGCTGCATTAGGTATATGCAACTGCAAATTTATCATAGCTTTCGCTACAGGATGTAAATCTTGTTCATTTATCAATTTTTTTAATACTTTTTTTTTTTGTTTTTCTTTATTTGGCATTTTACGTATTTTCGGAATACGACGTATGCGATATTTTAAATCTCTTATTTGCTTTCGTAATCGAATATTTTCAGATTTTAAAGATTTAACAGTTCTATATAGCTGACGTATTGTTCTTTTATCTTCTCCATTACTAGTTTTTGTACTACTAGATTTTGTACTAGTTTTTGTACTACTAGTTTCTGTATTACTTTTAGTGCTTTCTATATTTTTATTAAATGGAAGAGGCGATGGGAGTCTTTGTTGCACAAATGACTCTAGATGCATCCATTCCGTAACATCTTCTTCTTCAATCGACGCATTAAAATGTAAATGTTTTGGTCGATAGCATCGCAGCAAACGTTGTTCTGTAACTGCATGCTCATCTATTATATTTTCATTAATAAAAGTAGAAGTAGATGTTGATGCTATATTCTCTATTTCTATATCAGACACTAGTTTTTTTGTTTTTTGTAAATGAAGAACTTGTTCCATTTCCATGCATTTTCTTTTTTGTGTAATGTCCTCATTAATATTGTGAGAACAAAAAGGAATTAAAATATTACTTTCATTACTTACATTATGAGATTCGAACGGAATCGGCACTGCATCACGTTTTAATCCTCTTGTAAATGTGAATGATTCTTCAGGAAAGTGGTCTTCGCACAATCCCGCACGTCGAAGAGAACTGGTAGACAATTTCTCTAATTTCGTATTTCCTGTACCAAAAATAAAATAAAAGAAAATTTAAAAATTATATTTACATACTCGCTTGAATATATTAAATGTGTAAAATAGTATTAAAAATTATATTATTAAAATTTAATTTTTTATGATTGGAAAAGATTATCAAGAAACAAAATCCAGATAAAACTGTATAAAGTATCAATTTTTTATATAAATAACAGAAAAATATATATATGCATATACATAAAAATATAAAGATATTAACATAGTGTTCTACTTTAAATAATGTTAAATATTAAGATTTCTCGAAAATTATAGTAAATACGGAAAAATATTTTAAACAAAAGTTATAAGATTTAGAAATATCTTGTGTATGTAAGCACAGTTCACATTTCAAGACATTTCCAATTAAATATTAATTTCAATGTTGATTTTAATGTAATCATTATTTTTTTAAATGGGATCATTAATTGATATATTACAATATTTAATTTAAAAACTTTGTAGAATAATATGTAGTTAAAAAGGAATAGCTTATATGATATTTTATGCCAACACATTTTGACAAAAAATATAAAATATCTTGTTAAATATTTAAATATTTTGTTAATTATCATTTCTTGATAATGTGACAATAATTTCCTTCATAAAATAATGAGATAAATCAATTGGTGCAAAAAAAAAACATTTTTCTTATTAACAAAACAAGAATATGCAATTTTCAATAGATTACTACATACCTTTTCTTGACATATTTTAATAATGTTTTTTTTAAATTTTTTTTTAGAGCGTTATTATAATGACATTAGAACTACGTTTTTTTATACAAAGTGATTAATTTCATAATTAATGCAGAAAATTTTAAAGATGAGATTATCGAAAAAAAAAGTATTTTACAAAATATATAATTTTTTGCCAAAATGTGTTAGAATGAAGCATAAAATATTTCATAAACTACCCAGTCAACAAAATGTTAGCAGCCTGCTGGCAGTTTGCGAGCAGATTCGCTCAGAACTTGGCAGCAAATACGGTGCCATCTGTGTCCGCATTAAGTTCGTGTTCTGTCGACATAGATTGACAGCAGATTGGCGGCAGAAAACGAGCAGGATCTGCGCAATATAATTTGATGTCAGATTGTCGGCAGAAATCGAGCAGAACCTGCCGTCACAATTTAAATGGAATAGCGGCATTTAAATGCTTCATTACAATTTTACATTTCTCGTTTCGCTTATTAAAAGTAGTAAATGAGGTATGTAAAGTATATAATATATATTTGCTTTATTGGGACAAAAAAATACTTATGTTTTAATAAATTTATTAGGCAAAATCTCGAAATCACTGGAATATCGGGTCAACTCGCAGCGCATTTTCAATTTCAAAAATCAGTTTAATATTCTGAATCTCTTATGGGGATTGTATCAGATTATTGTATTAAACTGTTAAGCTTCATTAAGCCACTGGCCACACTTTATATGCACTGTAAATGAATTTTGAGTACGAGTTTATATACGAAGAAACACGCCGCATAGCGGCAATCAAATTGCATTGCGCAGATTTTGCTCGATTTCTGCCGCCAATCTGACATCAAACTGCATTATACAGATGCTGCTCGATTTCTGCCGTCAATCTGATATCAAACTGCGTTGCGCAGGTCCTTCTCGGTTTCTGCCACCAATCTGCTGTAATAATTCCGAGCAAATTCTACTCGGTTTCTACTACTGATCTGCTGTCAAATTATGTCAGCAGGTTTTGTAACATTTCTGCTGACATTCTGCTATCATCATCTGATGTAACAGATTTTGTATACAATCTGCAGTCTTTCTGCTGACAAAAATTTGTAGCAGACGTTTGGCAATATCTGTTCGAACAGACTTTGCTGACTGGGTATACATTCATTTACGGACTATGTTTTCAAATTCTTTATAGGCATAAAAGATAAAATATTCTATAATTTTCAAAAAAGCACAGATACTTGCAGAGAGGAGAGAGAGAGAGAGAGAGAGAGAGAGAGAGAGAGAGAGAGAGAGAGAGAGAGAGAGAGAGAGAGAGAGAGAGAGAGAGAGAGAGAGAGAGAGAGAGAGAGAGAGAGAGAGAGAGAGAGAGAGAGAGAGAGAGAGAGAGAGAGAGAGAGAGAGAGAGAGAGAGAGAGAGAGAGAGAGAGAGAGAGAGACACAGACAGGCAGACAGGCAGGCGGGCAGGCGGGCAGGCGGAGGGAGAGGTGTTGAAGTAACATTAATATCTTTATAAAATTTTTTATTATATCATATATGTATTAGTGTTACACATAATATCTATATTTTAAAATTATCATAATCATAATATCATATATATCATAATATCTTAAAATATTATATGTATATATGTAGAGAGAGAGAGAGAGTAAAATATTAACTATAATATTAATTATAATAATTGATATTAATTCCTCCTTTATTTCCGCCTCGTCCTCGTCCTCTTCCTCGTCCTCCTCTTCCTCGTCCACCTCTTCCTCGTCCACCTGTTCCTCTTCCTTTTCCACCTCGCCCACGTCCTCCCCGTCCTCTTAATATTGCTTGTACAGCAGAATTAATAACTGCTATAAGTTGTTCTTGCTGAAACATAAAAAAGTAATCAAATAAATAAAAAATAATAAGAAACATGTAACACTAGCTAAATTGATAAATTTGCTGTACTAAATCTTTCAATTATATGCAATAATGAATAAAATAATGAAATAATAATATCTTGCATTGCTTGCATACAATGTAAGAAGTTATTATTCCTATGATTTTACAAATCAATACAGCTTAAAATAATTGTTAAAAGTTTTTAGAAAATATTACATAACAAAAAATATAGAATTAAGGAAAAAAATTCATATATTAATATTTTTATACAAAGCAATGAAAAAGGAAAGAAATTGTAATTCTTTAAAAAATTTAAATATTTAGAGAACCGTTTTCTGAATCCTTTACATGAATAACAATAAAAATAATTATATCATAAATTATATTAATCAAAATGAAAAAAAAAAAGATAAAAGAGAATGAAGTATATGACGTAATATAAAAGCATTTAAAATTAAATAATTATTTAAAAGAACTATTTCTGTTTTTTAATACTAATGTTGTATAAAAAATTAATTAAATATATAATTCTTCTAATAGTCTATATTAAATGTAACACATTTAATGTTATTGACGCTGATGCCGGTGTCACTGCCGACGTTGGAGCTTCTGCCGATGCCGGTGCCGGTGCCTTTGCCGATGCCAGCATCTCCGCTGACTCCGGTGCTTCCGCCGACGCCGGTGCCGGTGCCAGCACCTCCGCTGACTCCGGTGCTTCCACCGACGCCGGTGCCTTCGCCGACACCAGTACCTCCGCCGATTCCGATTCCTCCACCAACGCCGGTCCTTCGCCGACGCCGACGATGTTATTGTTGATGCCGATGGCATTAATATTGATGCCACCGTCGACGTCGTTGCTGTTGGTTGCATTGAATGTTCCTGAAAAAAATTACAAAAAATCATGTACAACGATATATATTTCTTTAACAGCACGGATAATTTTGATATAAACAAAGAAAAGAGTGATAAATAAAAAGTGCGAGATGTATTGTTAAACTTTTCATATTCGAGACACTACTTGCCGTAAAAAAAAATACAAAACAAACCAAGCATCAGTCTCATTGGGGCTTACTTTTTTGAAAGGAAAAGATAAACAAAACACACGACATATACAAAAAAAACATGCAATGAAGAGAAATATGAGTTTACAGTTGTCGAGATTCTAATTAGAGATTATTATTTTGTATCAATAAAAGATCATGAGTAATTTCATTCCTTTGCAAATTTAAAGGCTTATTATCGAAAAGTAAAAGAAAGTAGAAAATTATATACACATAGAATAAACAATTTCCTCGAGACGAAAATCGTGAAGATCGCGCTAATGTGAAATTTACTTGGTTTGATGTGTATTGTCTCATTAAACATTAATACATCAATATTTCAAATCAATATTGAATTAGAAATATGACGTGATAAAATTATACAACATTGAATAAAAGCACGCGATGCGAGTAAAATCTTTATTATAATAAAGAATTACAAAATGTGTATGTAGTATTTACCATAATAATATTTCACTATATATCACCTATATATGTGTAACACAATGCTTCCGCACAGACCGGCCGACTCACGACGGACTGAAGACAAGACTGAAGCACTCGTCCCGTGATCCGTGATCATATATCGTATGATAGATTCCTAATACGCGCACGCGTCGATACCGGTACGTGTGAACTGACACAATTCAAGCGCGAGCGAAAGATTGTGAGCGACAAACCATAACATAAACATTGACTCAAATATTTTTCTCGTTCGTTATTTGACATTTAAAAGTTAATAGAAACATTTAATAATATAAATGAATAAAGATCAATAAAAATTAATAAATTATAGTAATATATTTTCATAAAATATTTTATATGTACATAAAATGCAATGTACATTTCAAAATTATATCGTATTTAATTTAAAACACAACTTTGTGAGCAAATTAAAAACAATTTTCTACAACAAATGTGTAAATGAATGTTCACTTATCCATTATACATATAATATATACATGAATG